AACCGCGTTTCGCTTAGCGATGTTTCCTATGGCAATTTTCGCTTAAGAACGGCAATTCATTCCTATTGGAACGGATTATCCTATTTTCAATGCATTTCAATGGGAAACCGCATTTCGCTTAGCGATGAAATCGCTTAGCAGCGATTTTTCTGAGCGAATTAACATCGCTAAGCGAGGCACCACTGTACGAGGCAAAGTGACGAGATGAAAGAAGGAGATAAGGATATTTTCCCCAAAGCCTGGGGACAGGCTTGGGCAAGGAGGCCTTCCCAGGAGCATGGTAGGTCAGAGGATCTGCTACTGAACCTCTGACCAACTGATTCATCTGCCAGCATTGTCCATCTCTTAATGCAAGAGTGGGCAAGCGCTGGGTGTTCGGGGGCCAAATTTCTGGCTCCAGAAGACTCTAAGGACTGTCCTAGCCCGTCCATATGGAACCAGAAACAACCAGAAAACCTCTTGTTTTTTTTAAAATGATATTTGCTAAACTAAGGTATGGGGAGGGCACACCTTTTTTTTTAAAGTAACAGAACAGTACCTCTTCAGGAGTAGTTTTCCTATTTTAAAAATGCCGCCTTCTAGTGTTTTATGGGGAAAAGTTTTTTACCCTTGTGTAGGGCTCCAAATACAGCCTGCAAATAGTTTGCAAATACAGCCACAGGGCCTCATGCAGTCCTCAGGTCAAGTGATTCTCATCCTACCATAGTGTCACAATGTGAATTTTTGAATGTATAGAGGGCTAAAATAAATAAGGGGAGTATATAGAAAGCCACTGCTGAAAATGAATGTGCTTTTAAAAATAAGGTCTGAACAGCAGTTTACTAAAAGTTACTGCAAAACAATCAGCTCTCCAGCCAAACGTGGAAGCAAGATCACTCTGTGTGATAATAAAAGAAGCACTCTTCACTTAATGACTGAGTTACCTACGACTTGGTCGTTAAGCAAATTGGTCATTAAGTGAGGAGCTTAAAGGCAGAAGCATAGTCATGGTGGCAGCTTGCCGGTTTCTGATTTGCACGAACTGTAAGATCAGAAGTAACAAACACAATAGAAGTTTCTATTATACCTTCTTCTAAATTATGCAAGGGATGGATAAGTGGATAGAGGGAAGCTCTTTTCCCTCTCATGCAATACCAGAACCAGGGGACATCCACTCCAATTGAGTGTTGGGAGAGTGAGAACAGACAAAAGAAAACACTTATTTACTCAGCGTGCTATTAGTTTGTGGAACTCCTTGCCACAACTTGTGGTGATGGCATTTGGCCTATATGCCTTTAAAAGGGGATTGGACATATTCCTGGAGGAAAAGTCCATTGCAGGTTACAAGCCATGATGGGGATGTATAACCTGCAGGCTTAGAAGGAAGATACCTCAAAATGCCAGATGCAAGGGAGGGGTATCAGGAGACAGGTATCTAGTTGTCTTGTGTGCTCCCAGAGGCATCTGGTGGGGTCACTGTGACATACAGGAAGCTGGACTAGATGGGCCCTTGGCCTGATCCAGCAGGGGTCTTCTTCTGTTCTCTGGTGAGCCAAGACACTATAGTTGCAGGTTCGGCAAGTCAGTTATTTACAGACTGAGAGGAGGTGTAGACATCGAGAAATACAAATATAGGGAGCCTTGCTGACACATCAGCACCTCACAAGTCAACAGAACATGCTATGCAACACATACCAGATACCAACAATCACGCAGCAGCAGCAAACAAGGACAGAATGGATTTCCCACATAGATTCATACTGGCTTGGTTGGTTGAACACTTAGTTATTGTCTTGTGTGTCATTATAATATGCTTAAAGGGTAAGATTACTCAAAGGTATAATGCTTTTTACTTTTAAATGATGTATTTTAGAGATGTATTCTCTGCTTTTTGATTGCATATTTTTAGACTTTAAGCTCTTACATTTTTTGAATGTAATCATAGCATTCTTTTTGGTATTTTTATTGTATTTTTAATGCACCTGTATTTTGGAGAAGATTTCTGTAAAGCTTTTGTATTTTTACAACTTCAAAGTACTGTATTTTTGTGCTTTGGAACATAGAAGCAATGTAGAAATATAGTTGTAGAATTAGACAGCCTGATGTTGTCAGAGGATTTTTGATATCACTGGAAAAGATTGTTTGATTTAATTCTGGAACTAACCCTTAACTGGGATAAATGCCAGCTGTGAAAAACACAAGCTTACGATTTTTCCCTAAAGGTCTCTGAAGTTCTGTAGGTCTCTTGGGGAGATGTTCAGGTGTCAGGCTTTCTAATCTGAAAATAGTATTTCAGATGTTTATTTGAATTTGTCCACACAGGTTCCTCTGAAAGGCTTTTGAGAAGCTTGAGCAATTTAAAGGGGGAAGTGAAACATGCCTCTCTTACTTCCTGAAACTTGTGACAAAAAGGGTCTTGAAATATTTCTCAGAAAGCTAACAATAGCGGAGCCGTAACAACATCGCTGCTAGTATTTATACACTGTTCCATATAAACTAAGGGCTCAGTTACACACTGGAATACCCCTGGAGTTTGTGCACGCTTGAAATCAATTTTAAAATATCCATTTAGCCTGGAGTTTGTGCGTGCTTGAAATCAATTTTTAAATATCCATTTACACCACATGCAGCTAAACACACTTTTTTTTTTGGCTGGGAAGCATGTTTTTTTGTTCTGAAATTGAGGTATTTTAAACAGCCAGGGTGGTGGTCACATGCAGCTAAGCACACTTTTTTTTTTGCTGGGAAGCATGTTTTTTTATTCAGAAAGTGAGGTATTTTAAACAGCCAGGGTGGTGGTGTTTATTTTTAACTCAATTGTGAACATGATTTATTTTGGACTGTTCTGGGATGTATTCTCACCTGTGTCAGAGCCTCTCTGCTCTCCCCCACCCACCCCCAATTAATTCCTGCTTGCAATCAAAGCTGCGGGGAGTGAGAAGAACAGGACTGGCTTGTGCCACAAGGCAAGGATGGAGTAGAGCTCCATCAGAAAAGAGAGCCAGCAGAGAAAGATTGGGTGGGGGAAAGTGCTCCCTCCTTCGCAAACCCAGAAGCTGCCAACGTTGCCAGTTTTTCTGGTCAGCTTCTCTTTGCCACATACTGGTGTGCCTTCCTGCCAGTCCCAGCTTCTGGTTCCATTGCCCCTCTCTTTCTCCACCCCCCGCTGCTGCTCTCGTCAATTTCTCTTCGCCACTTACTGGTGTGCCTTCTTTCTGAAAAGCCTCAGCTGCCAGTTCTCTAGCTCCCTCCTCTTTCTACACTCGCCTTGTTTGTACGCGTGTATGTGTGTGTGTGCGTGCGTGTGTGTGTGTCTGGACATACGTGTGCATACGTTGGTCTGCAGTCTCATCTTGGCCTTGCAGTCTGATCTAGTTTTTTTTCCTGTCTATAATACTGAATTAGCACTATCCCAGTTTGAAAGAATTTTTTTTGAAAAACATTAAAAAATAGTACCAGAGCAGCAGCAGCAAGTGGCTGTGAGAGGCATGAAAAACATTAAAAATAGTACCACAGCAGCAGCAGCAAGTGGCTGTGAGAGGCAGCCTGCGTGAGGGTGGACGGGCACAGGACAAACTCTCAAATGCTATGATTTTAAAAGTCCATGTAGCCCCTACAGTCAGTTTAAAACACAGTCTAAAAACAGATTTTTTACAAGAGATGATTCTATTATCGTAAAAGAGATCATCGTATATTGAGTGTTTTTCTCTCACACACACATAGCACACCCCCAAAAGTCACATGACTACTACACGACTTTAAACTAACTTCAAAAACCTGATCCATCTCCTAATTCATGTTCTTAGTGTAACCGTGCCCTAATCCTACTTTTTACATGAGATTATTCTATTATCATAAAAGAGATCATCGTATATTGAGTGTTTTACCTTTCAGGCAGCAGTACAGTACTGCTTTTTTTTTTTTACAAAAATTCGTACATTTGCCTGGTATCTCTCATATATTCATGTTTGATACCGATATTCTAATACTGTACAAAGGACAGAGAGAAGAGACATGCAAACAAGGCAGTGGTTTTTTTCCCCCTTTTGGGAAAGAGGGGGTGGGTCATTTTATTTCCCATATTAAAGAGAATGTGCAGAAAGACAATACATTAAGCTAAAACTAAGAATGTCCCAAGAAAAAAAGAACACAATCTCTACCATTGACCACAATGATACTGCATATTTACACTGGTGTTAATTCTATTGTCATAAACTTTACAGGTGAAATGCCCTAAGTAAAGAAGAAAGCATAGGTGTTTGCTATCATAAACCAAGTCACACAACTAATGTGCAATAGGAAAGGCTTATGTTAAATTTTAACTTGTGGCTGGATGCTACACAGATCAAGTAAAACAACAAGCATGACTAACAGGATTCTGTTCCTTATGTATTCATTCATTAAATTATTCCTAACCCACCCTTTATGCTAAGATCATTTACTACACATGTAGAACTACAGATGTTTTCCAAATTAGTTCTCAACATCATACAGATATTTCTAATCTATTTCCTTTGTAGGAATATTTGCTTCTTTTGTGACAGCACACAGATTGCGTAAGAAGTAAAATTTACTTTAAGACAATGGGAGAACTGCAGGTCTAAACTTTATGATCAAGATTTTGTAACAGTTTTTATTCACTTCTCGTTAGCATAATGCATTTTCATAATAACAGGAAACCCTTTCTAAAAAGAGAAGAACTTTTGCACACGAAAAGATAATAACCATGGTGGAGTTTTCTTATAATACTATATTTTGTTCCAAACCTGGAGAACAGGAAAGACAAATTCACATACCATTTTTAAGCCAACAAATATCGTAAGTATTGTATATATGGCAATGAGCAGTTTATATATTGTGTTATGCTTAAAAAAATCCTTGGCTCAAATGTTATAACAGAAGCAAACTTCACCAGGATTTGATCAGCAACTGAGACAATACAACTGAGGTTCTGAGGAAGGAAGCTTACATTACTCACATTCTTTCAACCAGCAGAAATACACTAACCCAGTGGTTCTCAAACTGGGGTCCCCATTTATTTTCGGACTAAAATGCTCAGAAACCTTCATCACTAGCTGTGCTGGCCACTAACCCAGTGGTCCTCAAACTGGGGTCCCCATTTGTTCTTGGACTAAAATGCTCAGAAACCTTCAGCACTAGCTGTGCTGGCCAGGATTTCTGGGATCTGAAGTCCCAAAACATCTGGTGGACACAAGTTTGATAACCACTGCACTAACCCATAATATTTTTTTTAGTTTTATTTTTTGCTTTTTTAAAACAACATTTACATACTTACTGGTGAACGCCAAGAACTTCCCAGTCTTTTCCAACACCCTGAGGAGCAGCTAATTGAGGAAGTATATGTGGACAAACCTCAACAAGTTTGCAAAGAAGTGACCAGCCCACCTCAAAAAAACACAAAAACACACACAGAGATGGTTATGTAAAAGATCACATTAAGCCTTCTCATGCTAAATTCTAAGCTTTTCAGCTGGGACTTGCTCAGGATGGGCCATAGTAATGACTGATGGATCAAATTTCCCAGCACATGCCATTATATTATTTGTACTAATGTGTTTATCTATACTGTATAAGTTTTGAACTAGATAGATAGTAAAAGTTTTCTTGATTTATGAAAAATTAGGATTCAGTAACATCGTTATTGGACCACCAAAGCATTATTTTAAAATGCATACTTTTTACACCACATTGCCAAGCTACATACTGCAGAGTTCAGGGCAGACGGAACAAACAGGGGGGAAAAAAGCCATCCTTGTTCAATGCTGAAGCATGCCCTGCTGGATGAAGAGTCTTGGAAGACTTGAAAACTCCAATTTTTTTCAATGATATTTTAGCAGTTCAGCCCTGACGTTGGAATTTGTTCAGACCATGTGACTGTATTTCTTTTCCATCCCATATGCCAGAGATATAAATCACATCCATTCACAAATATTACTCACAAATCCACACTTGCAATGATATTTTCATACACAGACATGGACACAAATATACACAAATCTTTATACTTTTTCAGTCTTTTTTTTAATTGAAAGCAAAAGAATCAATTGTGTTATCTATGGACACTGCCATTCAGTTGTATGACAACATAAAGACAGACAGTGTTGCCTTATTGTAGGGATTACCCAACATTACCCAATCTTTTGTGGTAGAGGCTTCAGTGTGGCAATTTACTGAGAATCTAGTCCATATATACAAAGAGAAACACTTTTGATCCTTGATCTATGCATGTATTACCAAAGGACTGTAAATCCGAACAATGAAGAAGGAACCCCTCAACCTCCACTTTATTTAAATAGCACATGCAAGTACAAACAAATTAATAAAATGAATGGCCCACATTTAAATTGCACACTAAACTATAGATGGAAGTTGTAATCTGGAAATAATACTGCCACTTCTTTTCATGGTAGGAAAGCCTGCACATTTAAATGCACAACCAATTTACTGCAGTCATTTTTTTTCTACATCAATGTGAGCCCTTTCCATATCTGAATTCATGAGGCAGTATCTAAATTGGCTCAAAAATATACATTAGAAGTCCAACTTTACCCTACGGCATGGTGTAGATATTTTAGCCTAGAACTCTGATTACAGTATTTCCTCTCAGAGTAAGAGAGTGTGGAACTTGAGAGTCTAAAACATTTGGAGGAAAAAAGGTTCTCTATCCTTGACCTAAAAGTATTATTATGATTGAGACAATTCAAGGAAGGCCATCCTTTTTGCCCGTATCACTTTCAAAAGATAACATACACTCTCAATAAGATACGGAACTTTGTTTTTTTTTTACTTTGGTTTTTTCTACATCACTCCCATACACATATAAGCCAGGTGGCCATAAAGCATAGAGAAGCTAGACATCTTTTTTTCCTTTTGTGCCTATCTATACCCATTTCTCCCATCCTGTGCAGTGGTAGCCGTGTCTGATACTTTACAGTGGGTCTGACTGTGAAGGAACTGTGCGGAGAAAATCTCTTATGTGCTCTTGAAGGGTAGCTCCAAGAACTTTGGGAACATAATGACTGTGTGGAAAGACTGAGAGGGCTGCCAGAAATGTGTTGTGCTGGCTCTTAAGGGACCTTAAGGCAACCCTCTTTGTGCCAACACAACCTAAGGCCAGTTTATGCAATCAGTGAAATCAGGTGATAAAACTTTTCTTGCAATCTCTTCCTTCAGGCAGGTAATTTGTGTGTTTGTCTACTCCCTTTCCACCATCTGCACATTAAAAAGTCATAAAAATGATTCAACCTGATCTCCTCGACATGTCATTGTTATATAACTTTTATTTCCCTTAGAACAATAATCAAACTTTATCTAGTGCATATTTTTCCAAGATTCTTCCTCTTATGCACACACACACACAAAAGTATGACCAAGGGACTGACAATGAAGGGATTAAACGAGAAGCTAAAATCAAGATCCCCAGAACTGCATGGTGCCGTTACAGAACAAGTCTCCCCTGGCACTGCAGCAATGAAGCCCAGTGTAGGACAGGCATGTTCATTTGTTGAGATGAAAACAAAAATGGCTAAAGCAATACAACAAATACATATCCTCACCCCCACATCCAAATACGCAGGCTCTTTGACACCGTAGAAAGATCACATCCTCCAAACAGGAGAAAGTCTCATTCCATCTGACTGAAATAATGTGGGAGTACAACTAACACAACAATGAAGAGATTTTCACAGTCACAAAAACAAGTTGAACGCCCACAGGACTCTGCAGAACAAAGTGGATGCTGGATGCCTCCATGTTTATGTCTGTCTGAAAACCTTTATTTTATTATGCTAACTACATACCAACATCATTTCTAATTTAAAATCGACAGTTTGCAGTCCAACTGTTTCCTCTGTTTAAAAATCACTGCTTGAGGTGTGATCTTCTTCACTCATTGCACAATATGTCACACAAATGTATCTTAAAGTAGAAACTGTTTAAATCAGTTGATGGAAAATGTGCTAATTTCTCAGCATTCAGCCTCAGACTACATTTCTTATGCATATTTTCTGGCCAGATTCCAATGACATGGAAATCAGGCAAACATTTATAATTAAACAATACTATGTGCATCCTAGTGGCCTAGTCTGTTAGAAACCAAAGCCTATTCAAAAGGCATATAAGAAGAAGAATAGTGTGGTATCAAGTCAATTTCAACCCACAACAGCCCTTGGCTCTACTGACAGGAGGCATAGTGGCAAACTGAACTTCCAACCTCTAGCTCCTCAGCCAGATACTTAAACCACTGAACTATCCAGTCAGCTTAAGGACTATAACTGAGAGGTTAATTCCCTCCACTGTGCATGGCTTTTAAAGTTAACTAGAAAGAAGATATAAACCTGTGTCCCATGTGTCTAAAGTACACTGTAAAAAAGACAGAAATAAATGTGTTACCCCTAAAGATGCCACACTACTTAAGTTTTATTTTTGTTGTTGCTGAAACTGATTTCTTCATAAGATTCCACAACACTTAAGAATAGGACAGCATGACATAAAGCTTTTTCTTTCATGGAAGCGAATTAAAAATAAAAGTTTTATCCATAAATTTCTCCCTATAACACCACCATTAAAAGGCAACGGAACTCTGGCATGAAAGAGAGATGACAACCTTACTTTGTGCATGGTGAAGTCAACTCTATTTACTCACTACACAATCCATTACAACTGTTAAACGGCAGCATTCAAGGCACTTATTCTTGAAGCATTCTTACTTTCCAGGAACTCCAACCCATGCTAATTTACAACTTTAGAGAAACAAGGCCCTCAAATCTTAAGTTTCATTCCCTTTAAAATGCAAGGTTGAACTAAATTCAGTTCAGTTTCCTCCCAGCCCTGGAATAGTTAAACCATCTTTGGATTTAGGATGTTCCACGAGTGTTCTGGTTCTAATTATCTGTATCCTTCTATTTTTATCCTATTTAGCTCTGCAGCAGATCCCAGGACTGTTCATCTCCTGAAAAGTTAGGAGAGAGGAAAAGTAACTGTTATTACCTGCTGCACACTTGCAACCCTCATGTAAGAAACCAAAACCAGAAGCAAAGGCACATGGATATTTTTGCCACTGAATAACTTGGGACCTGAGGAGGACCAAAAGAAAAAGAAGTCAAAAGTCAGGACGAACGCAGGAAAGGGAGCCCCCCTTGCCGCCACGTTACTCGCGGCCCCCTTGAAGAAGCGGGGAGACGTGGCTCGTTACTACACCAAACTCGACGCGGGCGCGCCAAAACGTTACCGCTTTGCAGCGAGGCGAGGGAGAGGAGATCTTGCAGGATCTGGATCAAGGTTTCGATCTGTTTCCCCTCCTGGACGTTCTCCAGCCGGACGATCAGTTTCTTGAGGGCGGCTTCTTTCCTCTCCTCGTCCTCGTCCTCGTAGCAACTCTTGCTCGGGTTCCTACTGGCCATGGCTGCTGGGCCACTCGTTCCTCCCAGGCCCCCGCAGAGGGCAGCTCATCCCCGCCGGGCGGGTGGGGATTTCCTCTTCCCTTGGCTCGCCCTGAGACTTCGCCTCGCTTTCGGCTCCATCTGCCCGACGCCAATGCCAGCCGATTTCCTGCAGCTCCCTCGCAGCAGAGGAAACGACAAGTTAGGCAGAAGTCGGCTCTCTTGCGTCGCCTGCCCGCCACCCTAGCAGCCGCCGCCCCCCCGCCCCTCCCTTGGCGCGCTCCTTCCCCTTTTGTCCCCTTCACACGATGCCAGGGCTCGGGTTGTGCGTGTCTAAAGAGGAGGGGGAGGCTGCAATGCACGCCGAATGCCCATAGGTGGCGCTGACACTTTCACCATAGGACGTCCGAGAAGTGAAGACAGGGCGGGAAATCAGTTCAAGTTCACTCACAGCTGCACTTCTCAATCCTGCGACAGGCGAGGCGAAGCGGGCCCGGGGGCAGCCGCTCCGCCTTCAGAAGGGGAAGCCGCCGAAGAGTGCCCCGGTTTAGCTACTAGGGGCGTGAGGAGGAGTACACGTAACCTCTGAGAGTGACCGTGCGTCCCTTCGGAAGGAATCTATCCTGGAGTAAAAAAAAACAAAAACTTCCAAACGACACTCCGGCGTGAAGCTGCTGGATGGCAGTGGGGTAAAAAAAGGTTTCCTTGCATTCTCCCGGCTCTGAAGAGAGGCCGCAGTGTCACTTTTCTGTACAGCTACGGGTGTTTGCGCAGAGGTGGAAAAGCTGGTAGAGAAGGCGTGACAGTTTAGTTAACTGTTAGTGAGCCTTAAAAGTGCAATAAAGACTTACCAGAAGTCATAAAACTCGGTCACTTTGCCACACCTCTCCTCACATCCAGAACTTCGGAGAGAATGAAAGGGCTACATAGATTTTTTGAAAGCCCTATTTTCCACCTGCCTCACCAAAACCCTCATCTTGCTTTCCCTCTCTCACACCTTTAAGATCTCAACCCTCCCAGCTTGAATTTACTGACTCCCAAGTGGATCCCAGAAATAGTTCTAAGGGGGTCTGAATTCCAATTTTTGGAACAGATGAGGAGGCTGTATGTGATGTCTAGCATCGTGATCAAAAGACCATTTGTCAAGTCACAGTCGGACACCTGAAGGGTCCTAAGAGCCCTGCAGAACTTTATAGACCCCTAGGGAAAAATCACCTGGCTGGATAACTCGGTGGGTTAGGTGTCTGGCTGCAGAAACAGCGGCTGGGAGTTCGATTCTGCATTGTGCCTTCCAGGAGAAGAGCCAGCCTGTGTGGCCTTGGGCAAGCTGCACAGTCCCAGTGCACCCCCAGAAGAAGGGGATAGTAAACTATTTCTGAGTATCCTTTACCTGGAAAACCCTGGAAACAGGTGACCATAATAAGTCAGAACTGACTTGACAGCTCATTATTGTTATTATTAGAGGGAAATTATTGTTATTATTAGAGGGAAATCAGCAGCCTGTGTTTTTCACCGTTGTCATTTATCCCAGTTAAAAAGCAAAGTACTGTATGCTGATTATAAACTGCCTCATAGCGCTTAAATCACTCTTTGCGCAGTGTGGGAAGTTAATTATGCAAGCTGGATTCTAATTTTACCAACCTGGAGTTAAGGATTAATTCCAGAATGAACCAGAGGAGAATTTGCACGATGTACCATTTACTTTCTTCTTTTGGACATTCTTTAAGTTCTTTGCCCCATGAAAGACAGATAAATGGAATGTCCAGAAATATCTCTACTTTTTCTTTTTAGTGAACAAGAATATACAAGCAGACATATACGTGTAATACTGTTCTCTATTGAATCTTTAAAAAATGTAACTGCAAAACTTAATAAACATTGTGCTCTAAATACTTATTAAAAGTACTATAAAAGTATATTAACTAAGTTGGAAAAACTCAAGTCAGATCTGTGTAAGTATTTTAACAAACTCTGTAATTAATAGACTAGACTAGAGCATAGGCAATTGCATAATCACATCAGGATATATATATATATATTTTAAAAAGGCCCTTCCCCTTCAGCAGAGGTTTATTTCCTGTTCTCCTGTCACCCTTTGCTCCTTGCCCTAGCTTTTTCTGGTTATCATTTACAGTACACTACAATATACATTTCCCTGCCCTCTTCCCTTAACTGTCAACATTCTCATTGCAGGACCTGTAATTATATAGTCTCGATTCACGAAGGAAAATTTTATAGTAGAAATTCCTACTGGTTAACTAATTCTGATCTTACAGTTCCTGTAAATCAGTCTTGCAAGCTGCCACCATAATGATAAGCAATCTTATTTTGACTAACAGTCACAGAGCCTATGGATATCAATCGATTGAAACTACAAGAGTCTAGTAAAATAAAGTACTATAGAGCAAGTCACAGGATATGAAATACCATCAACTTATCATGTTAATATTTTATGTTTTACAAAACAATGATTTAATTACACTTTCAATTCAATCTTTTTTTTTACATCCACATGTAACTATCAACCATGCATGAAATTCTTTTGCTGGAAAGTGTTTCTGTGTAATGACCTTGATTCCAGACTTGACTGGAGAGTTTGTTGTTTTGTGGTTGTTGTTTAGTTGTTTAGTCGTGCCACAATTCAAAAGCATCAATTCTTTGCTGGTCAGCTTTCTTTATGGTCCAGCTCTCACTTCCACACATCACTACAGGAAAAACCATAGCATTGAGTATGCGGACTTTTGTTGGCAAGGTGATGTCTCTGCTTTTTAAAATGCTGTCGAGGTTTGGCATCGCTTTCCTCCCAAGAAGCAGGCGTCTTTTGATTTCGTGGCTGCTGTCTCCATCTGCAGTGATCATGGAACCCAGGAAGGTAAAATCTGTCACTGCTTCCATCTCTTCCCCTTCGATTTGCCAGGAGGTGATGGGACCAGTGGCCATGATCTTAGTTTTTTTTTTTATGTTGAGCTTCAGACTTTTTTTTCCTTCTCTTTCACCCTCATTAAGAGGTTCTTTAACTCCTCCTCACTTTCTGCATTCAGAGTGGTATCATCTGCATATCAGAGGTTGTTGATGTTCCTTCCCGCAATCATTATTCCGGTTTGGGATTCCTCCACTTCGGCGTTTTGCATGATGTATTCTACATATAAGTTAAATAAGCCAGGGGACAATATACAACCTTGTCGTACTCCTTTCCCAATTTTAAACCAATCAGTGCTTCCATATCCAGTTCTAACTGTTGCTTCCTGTGCCACGTATAGGTTTCTCGGGAGGTAGATTAGGTGGTGAGGCACTCCCATTTCTTTAAGGACTTGCCATAGTTTGCTGGGGTCCACACAGTCAATGAAGCAGATGTTTTTCTGGAACTCTCTGGTATTCTCAAATTGGTCTCTAGTTCCTCTGCCCCTTTGATATCCAGCTTGTACTTCTGGGAGTTCTCGGTCCACATACTGCTGAAGCCTACCTTGCAGGATTTTGAGCATAACCTTGCTAGTGTGGGAAATGAGTGCAATTGTACGGTAGTTGGAGCATTCCTTGGCACTGCCCTTCTTTGGGATTGGGATGTAGACTGATCTTTTCCAATCCTCTGGCCACTGTTGAGTTTTCCAAACTTGCTGGCA